GTTCACCACACTAGGACTAATAATACAAAATCAATCATTTTCCAACAACCAAGAACATACAAGTTTAAACATCTTCAAAGCCTGTAGTGGAATAACGTACACACTGAAAAAAGTGTCTCAGATCTGTCAGACACACCTTGTTCAGGAGAGATCATATAGTCAAAAAAAATCAAGAAAAACAAAGGAGTGTTTTGCCAGCTTCAGAAAGGCATATAATCGATGCATTTTCTTGGCAAGTTCAGCCCTGTCCCCCAGATGCATTTCATACTGTGCTCATAATCTATTTATAAAGTCTTTGTAATAGTTTAAGTTGAAGATCTTTATTGGTTCTAAGTGGCATAACGCTGCAGATTTCATTGCAATCCCTCACCCTAAACTCCATTCATTTCTCATAAGTTCTAATAAGTTCTAATGCACTAGATATTTTTTCCTATAATGCTCTAAATACTGAAATAAACAGACTTGAAAAGCAAAAGATCTCTGCTAAAGTGTAGATGAATGTCATATGGTTTGAACTTGGAGAAAATAACAGCATAGAAACTATTTTTTCCACAAAGTCTACAAACTTCGCAAAAGTTGGGAACTGTGGAAAAAAGGAGGGAAAGAAAGAGTTCACCATTCAGAAGAAATGTAAAGTACTTCTGTTTGTACTCTGACATCATATCTTCTGTCTCTGTGCTCATAAAGACAGGTCATTACACTTTGTTTACTGTGCACTTTGTTATGCGTGGCCCAAGGGGAAGTTTAACATCCCACAAAACACAAGGAAAAGAACATGATCAGGAGCAGTCAGCATGGATTTTCCAATGGGAAGTCATGTTTAACTAACCTTCTACAATGGGATGACTGACTGGATGGATGAGGGGAGAGCAGTGGATGTTGTCTCTGTTGACTTTAGCAAGGCTTTCAACACTGTCCCCGTAACATCCTCATAGGGAAGCTCAGAAAGTGTGGTTTAGCTGAGTAGACACTGGGTTGGATCGAAAATTGGCTGGATGGCAGAGCTCAGAGGGTTGTGATAAATGGTGCCAAGTCTAGTTGGAGGCCTGAGAAGGCCTGGGGCAAGTGGTGTGCCCCATAGGTCAGTACTGGGCCCAGTGCTATTCAACTTATTCATCCGTGACCTGGATGAAGAGACAGAGTGCACCCTCAGCAAGTTTGCAGATGATACAAAGTTGAGCGGAGGGACTGACACTCCAGAGGGCTGTGCTGCCATTCAGAGAGACATTGACAGATTAGAGAGATGGGCAGAGAGGAACTTCATGAGGTTTAACAAAGGCAGGGTCCTGCATCTGGGGTGGAATAACCTCAGGTTCCAGTAGAGATTAGGGAATGATCTGCTGGAAAGCAGCTCCATGGAGAGGGATTTGGGAGTCCTGGTTGACAACAAGTTTACCATGAGTCAGCAGTGTGCCCTCGTGGCCAACAAGGCCAATGGGATCCTGGCCTGCATCAGGAGGAGTGTTGCCAGCAGGTCGAGGGAGGTGCCTACTACTAGAGGGATCCTTGCCCCTCTACTTAGCTCTAGTGAGGCCGCACCTGGAGTACTGTGTGCTGTTCTGGGCTCCCCAGACAAGAGGGACCGGGAACTTCTAGATAGGGTCCAGCGCAGATCAACGAAGATGATTAAGGGACTCAGACGAGGAAAGACTAGGCCTGTTTAGCCTGGAGAAGAGATTGAGAGGGGATCTTATCAATGTGGACAAATACCTGAGGGGAAGATGTATAGAGGCTGGGGCCAAACTCTTCTTGCTGGTGGCCAGTGACAGGACAAGGGGTAATGGGTATAAACTGAAACACAGGAAGTTTCGCCTCCATGTGAGGAAGAAATTATTGACTGTGAGGGTGACAGAGCCCTGGAAAAGGCTGCCCAAAGAGGTTGTGGAGTCTCCTTCTCTGGAGATCTTCAAAACCCACCTGGATGTGATCCTGTGCAACGTGTTCTAGGTGACCCTGCTTGAGCAGGGGGGCTGGACTAGATGATCTCTAGAGGTCCCTTCCAACCTCAACCATTCTTTGTGTAAGTGCTTGTGTGAGAATTTCTGTATATGATGCTGAATTCTTATTTTCTATGACGTTTTGGGAACAGTGTGGATAAACATAATACTAGATACAAATGCTGTATATCTACTAGATATAGAAATAGATATACTGTGTATCTACTAAAAACCTGCGTTTCATCAGCAGAATATGTAGACTCAGACTTAAAGGAAATCCCAGATGTAATATAGACTCAGACTTAAAGGAAATCTCAGATGTAATAAGTGGGATGTTATCATGTGGCCTGTCTTTTTGGGTGAAATCCAAGACCGGCATCAGGCACGTTGACTGACAGTAAGGCAAGATAGGAGCCATGGAAGAAAAACAAAAGCAACCCTGCATCTGTTGACCAAGGACAGAATAATAAGAAACACAGAAGATAGGACTGGATCTGAATGCATTCCCCTTCAGCAGATAAGAATCTGAGGGAAGTCTGCCTAGAAAGCACCTCCATCTTCCCAGGGCCCAGAGCTCAAGAGTCCTCTCCTCAGAGATAGGAAGGTGTCAGGACAGACATTCATTCATCCAAAAAACAGTTTATAAATCCTCATTCCTCTTCTACATTTCTTAAAGGTAAGAAAGCAGTAGAGAAAATAGTGTTTCCTGCAACCTCCATTGCTGACCACCTTAAGGTAACAATTTTGCTGTTGGTGCACACATCTGGAAAGTAAGGGACCTGACTTCAGATTGGCCTGGGGGCCTATTCCAGGTCTTCCTGCAACAGATCCTAACCTCAGGCTATGGGTGGGAAAGTCACAAAGTCAGAGGGAGAAAGCACAAGCAGATACCCTATGTGGGTATTAGGTGCACTGGGGAGGGGGGACCTACATTTACAAGGCTGTAAAGTAGCAAGGCAGTGACATGATTTTGCACTATGCTGGTCAGGTCTACAGCCCTCTTATGTCTATGGTTACCCATACTTGCACTGCCTTTGATTTCCATTGTGAAGGCATAAAATATAGGAGAGACAGAAGACTGGAAATGTAATTCACAGTAACTTGGACTATTCACTATCACATATTCTCCCACCAGTCAAATGACTCCATCAGTCTCAGACATATTTTTGAATTTTTGCCTAGGAATTTTGCCCAGAAGGATTTTGAAGATATTCTAAGGATTTATGTATGTCAAATAAACCTGAAGAGGAACTGAGTGGATATTGTAGTCATGCAACATGTGAACAGCATTTCTGATGCTTTCAGAAATGTCAGATGATTCTCTGGTGCATGAGACTGGGGAATTATTCTGCATGTGTGTACTAAACCTAATATCTTAGAAATGCTGGATATGCTCTGTGCATGTGAGCCATGATAACTCCATATGAGGGACAGTTCAAAGAGAGGATTACCCAAGTTTGTTCCTCCCTGCTTTTGTCTGTAGATGGTACCTAGTGGGAAACTATGTATATGATTGCAGAATTTGAATACATAAGAGTGAGGCAGGATAAGGAAGGCAGGGAGATGCTGAACAATCAGGAAGGATGTGGAAGTATTTGCATTATCAACAGAAGCATGGTAAAACTTCTGAAGATTTTCTGCCCACATAACATTGTTTTCATTATGCTAGTAGTGCCTAACCAGAGATCAGGAGGAGGGCTCACTTTTCATTAATGGAAGCCCTTTTCTAATCCAACCCAGAGAATGTCCCAGTCTCCTGGTCACTAAAGGCTCCCAACATGTCCATGTGGCTCTTTTTTTTCAGAGAGGTTTCCAGGGCTGTCAGTTCTCCAGCATTCTGAGCAAGACAAGGCCTACCTCATACTCTGTATCCCCAATGCAGTATGTATTTGCAGCTCAGCATCACAGTTTTTCTCCTGCTTTCCAGCTCCACATACTAGATGTAGCAAATTGGCATGATCTATATCCTGCCAAATTGCTGACACAGGAGCTGTGAGGGCAAGACTGGGCATGATGCTGAAAGAGGCCAGTCTTATCCTGGGGAACTACACTCAAAGGGGCCTGCTACAGTTATCTTCATTGATGGTTTTGAAAAGTGGTAGTAAATTATCCTTGAGTTTCTGCAACTGTTTATACATTCACTTCGTACAAGTGCAGCTGAGATTCTGACCCTTAGAGAAGATGCTCTTCCCTTATAATTTGAATTAGCATTATCATAAATCATAAGAACGCTTGAACTTCCCTCCTGGCTCAAACTAACAGTTCCATCTCTCTCAATAACTTCTTTGGGACAGTGCTCAATATCAGATGTTTAGAAAAAATAAAACAGGGCACATTTAGAATGGATCCTTCTCTTGGCCTACTTTCCCAGCTGCAGCAGTCTAAACTTTTTCAAGCAGAAAGTTGCACCTGGGCCAACACATTTAACAGTACATTTAACCAACATTCTATATATATATATATAAATGTTTTCTTCTTTTAAAAGTTGTTTCATAATCACAAGACGTTTCTTTCACACAACCCACCTGCCAGAGCAGTTTCAGAGCAGCATTCTGCAATCTGAAACTCCCTGAGGACATATTCATATCATCTTACACTTTACCTCCTAGTTTCTCACTGGCACTCAGAAATGACCTATCACACTAATGCCAAGTTTATGGATGCAGCTTGCTATTTGGACAGTTGTTCAACAATAGCAATTAAGTTTTGGACAGCAGCGATTATTGAAAAAATTTTTCTAGCTTCTAAAGGAGAAAGTAAATCTTACGCTGCATTTTCTGCATTGATACATTGCTGTGTATGTTTTCTGTGCCACAAACATAACACAACCTATCTCCTAAATCACCACATTTGTTTTTTAATAAGGTGAGGGCACTTTTCTTCTCCCTTCTGTTTCTCAAAACCCTTGATAAATTTCAGTGAGGATCCCTATTTTCCAGAACTTCTTATATAAAACTCAGATATTAACTGACACATATGGGAGGGCTGAGAGGACATGAGTTCAAAGATGCCTCTGCTTCAGAGACTGCCCTGCTCCCCCCGCCCACCATTGCAGATACTTACCGTAACCCATGAGGGACTCGCACATCCATTCTCCACCTGCGTCTCTCCGGCAGCTCTGCCATAACGACGCCCGCTGCACATAGGGCAAGGTCTGCGATTCCAACCAGCCCCTGCCCGCTAGCGCGATGATACCAAAGATGACACCTATGCCCAGGAGCAGAGGTAGGATCCATCTGCAGCGAGTGTAGTCGAGGCCGTACTTCACCATCTTCGAGGACAGCCACCAGGCTCCTGGGAGGACGCTTGAGTGAGAAGACCTGCTACTGAATCAGACACACAAAGCAAAGAGTGTTTTTGCAAAGCTCCTTAAAAGTGAGCGTGCGTATGCATGAGCCAGTGTGCGTGCACTTGAGAAAAGCTTTTTAACCAGGACAGACACGGGAGGGAGGGAGCTCCACCTAGATTCAAATGAGTAAGAGCTGCAACTGAGTAATAACCAGTAGAGCTGGGGAGAAGTTGCATGTTGGGCTTATCTGCTAGATACTCTCTTCTCTGCTGACTAGGTAACAAGCGAGGAGTTATTCTCTGAGTTTTAACATTTTCCTTCTTCTACTCCCCATTTGCATGTTGGGCTTATCTGCTAGATACTCTCTTCCCTGCTGACTAGGTGACAAGTGAGGTGTTATTTATTCTCTAACATTTTCCTTCTTCCACTCCCCACCAGAAGGATCATCTCATAGCAGCTATGTTTATAGTTTCGCATCAGAAGAGGTTTGCATTATAACACAAGATCACCTAGGGAGCTATTTGCATTATAGATCTTTGCATTAGTGGCCATTTTTTTTCCAAAATGTGCCATGTAGAGCTTGAAAGGTGCCTTTCCTGGACTCTATTTTTAAATGAAATGGCATCTTATTTTTTATAATACTAAAAAAAAATCCTCTAGCTGCTATTAAGTTAAGACAATAAAGAATATGTGACAGCCCTCCCTTCCCTTTTTGGATAGAGCTGCAGGAAAAAAGAAAAAAATCCCTATAAATTATTGTTAAAAATGTAGCATTGTCTGGGTATAGCCTTTGTGAGAGAACAAAAACTGAGCCTTGATTTGACTGTGCCTTAGGAACTCGTCCTGCATGTGGATGTGGCTCGATGCACTCTGCGCGGGCCTGCCAGAGCCTGCCCGCCATGTGCTGTGAAGCGCAGCCGAGACTACCACAGTCTCCAGGGAACCCACGCTGCACAGTGCTGGGCAGGTTTTTCTACCAGTCAACTCACGAGCAGTACAGCCATGTTTATAGCACTCCGTTTTTGAACTCATATGTGCTTCAACCTGGTATTTTGGTGGAGTCCAGATGTCTTTACATCTGGAAGCAGTCGCATGACTCGCAGAGTGAAGCTGCCTTCCGTGAAGCAAGGTTAGGCACAGAGGGAGCCAAGGATTCTTTGTTCCTGGGGTACATTTTGTCAGGCAGGTCTGTGTCCAAGTGTGAACCCCATTTAGCTCCAGATGTTTGCTGCTCTATTGTAGTTTTCATGGTGAAAAGTGACATTCATACTGAATCACAAACTCTATAACATTTTACTGAATTAATATTCATAAGTGAATAATGAACTAAAATACAAAATAATCAGTTAATACAATGCGCAGTGGAGTGCATGAACCTCTCTTGAGCTTGCATAGACTCAGACTTAAACAGTCAACAGACTGCAGCCCCATGAAGAGCTGTTAGCTCGGCCATGAAAGCAATTCCAATGGGTTCGTGTGACAACTGTGACTCATTTCTGGAAGGAAGCCTAGAAGGAAATTAGCCTTGGTCTGGCTAGTTTGTCTCTCATTCTCCAGCCAGTGTAATTTTGCTAGTTCAAGCAGTCTGGTACCTGGCCCCCTGCGGTAGGACAAAGCCCGTTGCCTTGAGGTTGTCAGAGGTTCATCGGGGTGGTTGTTAAGTCGCTGTTATAGCAAGAGACATTTTTACACATTTGACCATTGAAATTGAATTGAAGTCTCTTAAAGCAAGAGCCAACTATGAAGAAGTCCTATCTGCCTGTTGGAAATAAGGACTGCCTGAAGAAAAACAAAGCAATATTTTTTGTAAAGGGAATCACCTTTCTTAGGATATTATGTATTCTCCCTTGTAGTCCACATTTGTATTATCATCAAATTCAATGATCATTAACTTAAATATAATATTTAAAATGGTATTTATAAGTTCTAATACACTGCATCGTATTCTTCTGTTACTCTTAAAATAATTTATATTTTCATGAAAGCAAACATTGTTTGAAGCTCACCCTTATTACCTGAAGATTTTTATTACCTGCAACCCGCTCAAGTCTATTTATAAATATACTTTTTGTTTTCATTGCTGAGGCAGAGATGGGGACAATAAAGTCCAAAAAAAAAAAAAAAAAAAAGATTTGGATTTGGATACTAGCTACTTTCTAAAAGAAGGCTTCCAGAACAGTAATGTATGTCTTCTCATGTGGCAGTATGCTATAACCCACGCTCAGTTGTCTATATCTGGTCTCTTGCCAAGTTTCAAACCTTCAAGAACACTTACAGATTTCTAAAAACTCCTTTTTTTTCTTACATAAAATAGCCAAATCAAATTAAAGCAAATATGTCAGATGAAATCCAATATGAAGTCAAGCAGTCAGGTATTTAAGAGCCAATGTATGCTGAAGAATGAGAACACCCTCCCTTTTTTTTCTGAACGGTCAGCCATGTTTTAGGTTAGTATTTATGACTGAAGTATTTGTCATCAGTTTTTAGCATAACTCATTTAGTAAGCACATGAAGAAAAATATATTTAGATACTAAAAGTGTTCATAGGGTAATCCAAGAAGCAATTCACTGGCTGCTGAGCTCAGAGAAGAAATTTCACAGGTTTTTAAGGCTTTTGGAATTCCAGGATTGTCTTGCTGCTTGGCTCCCCAAGCCTACCTTGCATGCTTTTTTTTTTTTTGGTAAAACATGCCTGTGCATGTGATAAGCACTTGCAGTGAAGACACTTTCTTCTTTGCTTCAGCAAGGTTGCAAGTTACTAACCAGAAGATTATTATAATAGCTTGTTTTAACACTAAGTTCTGAAGCATGAAGCTGCAGTCCCTATTTTTATTTATGTGTGCAATTCAAGGCTACATTGGGAAAACACAAAAGAAGAGTCTGTGTATGCATGTACATCACTTCATTTTCAGCTATTTTTTGTTACAGGTCATATTTTCCTCAGGAGGAATTCTATACTGAAAAAAATGGTTTAATCCAAAGTTCCTTACCTACTGATATGCTACAGAAGGTTAACTGGTTTGGCCTTCCTTCTATCTCCCAGAAAAAATGGCTGAAATCAAAGATATCCTGTAAAACAGTCCTGCAGTTACCAGATAAGTTGAGTTTTGATGATCTGGTACTGGTTTTGGTGATCCGTGACTTCCTAGTGTTTCTGTCAGGAATACAAGCTCTTTTGCAATGCATTTCCTTTGTCTGCAGCTTTTCTTGAGGAGTTCATTGAGAAACCAAAGCTCCGATACAGACATAGAGCCAAGGGGATGGACTGAAGCAGCCTGTGAGCCAGGGCTAGTTCCTTGGTCTGTGTGACCCAGACTGTGGCACTGCCCTGTGGTATGAGTGATCTACAAGGGAAATGTGCTTTAGAGACATTAGTAGAATATTAGAGCTTAGCAGGAGCCACAGAGTAATCCTCACCAAAACATGGGTTGGCTCCTAGTCTAAGATGCAGCAGACATGCTCATGCAGCACGGCCCGGATTGAGGGACTGGGCAGCTCTGGCCATGTAGTAAGTGTATTTATGTGTAACCACACCAGATAGCACTAGTGTTCAGCTGCTAGTTTATGCGAATATTTTCCATATAGCCATACAAATATTATATGAGTTTCTATGAAATTGTATATAAACATTTTATATATAGACATTTTTTCACTTTGAAATTTACCAGCCAAAAATAGGGTTTTCCCGAGACCAAAATTTATATGCAAATGACCAATTTGACATGTTTCATATGGAATTTATTTGGGAAGAAAGCTGAAATGAAAATGGTGTCCTACCAACATTTTCATATTTTCTTATCGCCTTGATACAAAATACCAGTTACAGCTTTCCTGAATTTTGCTTTGCAAGTTTTGATTTTCCATTGCAAATAAGATCAGAAATTCTTTGGAAGTATCATCATTCATCTAAATTCTGTTTTCATGTTAATTTTTGCTTTTACAAATATTAAGAGAGTTTAAAAATACCCTCACTTCTGAAAAGGGGTTGCAATAGCCACATGTCAGCTCCTAAGGATATGCCTCCAGTTATGTTCAGGATTACGACACCTGACTAATGTACATAATTCATAACAATTTTCCAAGCCAGCACAGCTGAAGACTGGGGTTAGTTGGGTTCTAATTCTCCACTTACACCAATCACTAAAGTGTTTTCAAGTCCCAATTGTTGATTCATATTCTCACAGATGACTTAGTTGAAGAGAATTAATGGCATCAATTTAACATTCATGATGCTGTAAGTAAAGGTCTAGGTACAAACAGGCTGGACAGTTCATGATGACCAGCGCAAAGCAATAACATGGGTCTCAAATTTCTGAGACAGTTTCTAATTCCATTTTTTCCCAGTGTAAACTTGAACACGCTGGTTTTGGAAGTACGTGTGACAGAGCAACTCAAGAAGTAACAGTCTTTGTGATTTTCAGAATAGATGTCGATTTTAAGCATTGAGCTAGATGACAGGGACAGCACCCTGGTAGCATTTCTGGCGGCTTAGCAGTAGATCTAATTCCATTCTGCAATAAACTTCTTCTGTAACCTGGACTCAGTAGTTTAAATCCAAAAGTACTGATTCCCATCTTTCACTGCTCCATAAGCAACTATACTAAGCAAATTACTTACTACAGGCAACAACCCATCTTATTGCCTTGTAAGACTGAGCTATACAAGCAGCATTTCACTACCCTTACTAAAAATGCCAGGAGTTTCTCAAGCAATGTTAGCCATAAATCATGATTCTGGCACCACATTTAGGATATTTGTGTCTCCATAAAATCAAGCTGCCTATTTTTGTAAAATGCTCCAAAGAGTCAAGATAGAAAAAGTACTACAATGCCGTTGCTCACTCTTACTTGAGCAGGGCAGCAGAAACTTTTCCCTTGGGGTCCTGAAAGCTACAGGGGATTCCTGCAAGGAGCCCCCAGTAGCCATCAGGGCTCAGAGCACAGGCAGAGAAAAGATGGGGAAACTTTGAAGTGAATAAATGAGACCTCTTCAAAGACCAGCTGCAGTTCAGTAGATGCTTTCAGGACCCCAGTTTTGCATGTGAGTGATCAATTGCAACCTTTTTAAGAGCTCAGCCCTCTTGACTATGCTATTTTCAGCTGTGTTTCCTAGGCTTATGAATATTTAATACCTAAAAAATACTTCCATATTCACAAAGATCTCTGTGGAAAATAGTATGTGTCACATGCATTACCATAAAGAAATAAAATAGAATAGTCATGCTAATTCATCTGATAAACATTATCCAATCCTGCAAAAACTTGCCCATGAGAAATACCATTCTTGGAAAAGTTTATATTTTAAGCTGGTACTGATAAAGTACTTAGAAACTTCTAGATATGCCTGCATGTTTTCCACTGTGCCTGCATTTATTATAAATTCAGCCCTATTCAATTCAAGTATTCAAAAATCTTAATAAAAAACCTTTGGCTATTTTCAGAATTCTCAAGTCATTTAAATATTATCTTAGGCAACCACAGTTTGAGGTTGTTGGATTTTTGCCAGGATGTCTAGCTCCATTGCTGGAGTAGCTTGTCCCAAACCTTTGGATGTCAGGAAATCCTAGACAAAAGGCTGCTTACTGAACTGATGCTGACCTGCTTTGGTCTTACCTATAAATATGCTGTACGTATCAAGTAAATCCAATACACTCCCGGCTACACAGCTACACATTCGAGACAGAGCTATTCTCTGCTGCGCATGTGAAGTAAGGCTGAATATCCCAGGTACTGCAGACTCATTGCACATGCATTTCACAACATCTCTTGTCATGTACTTGTCACAGGAGTTCCAGCTAAAACCTGGCGCTCCTAGCTTTGGGGAATATATCCTTCAGATCTAATTTGACTTTGCTTCATTTTGCTTGGGAGTACCAAAGCTCAGGTTTACTTTTGTCATTTATTTTAAAATCTGTACAGCTTTATCTGTTGACACTGAAAATCCCATCTTTAGAGGGGACTGTTCTGTATTACCAGCAAACTCCATTTGTCTGAATTGTGGCATCATTACCTCAGCTCTCTTGGCTGTTGTGGATATCCTAAGCGTTTTTGTTTCCATTGATATATGTGATCTTTGTGCTTGGTTCATCATTAATTCATAAATGCCCAATTATCCCAACAACTTTTTTATTTTTTTGTCCAATTTTGTAATCTTTCATTTATAAGAGCATTTTTATTTCTGCAGTGCTTATTATCATAACATGCTAATGCTAAAAGCCATCTTGAATTATCTCAGCTTCACTGTTGTGATTTACCTATGTATACTGACACCAAAGGTCCTTCTAGAAAGTAAAGGTCAGATGAGTATTTGTAAGAGTTCTACCTCAACACGGAATTGTCTGAAAAAGGAGTCATGTCCTACATCAGCTAAGAATGCAAAAGCCCGCTGAGGTGTGGCCGCTGTTCCCCTTATCCATGAGATTTAATCATTATAGTCTTCCCATTCAGGTCGGTTAGCCTTTTTTAGCATCCAGTCATACAAGTTATTGAGGGCTCTTAATTCACCCTAAATAGAGCCAAATATGCTCAGACTCTCCTGAACTGCTCTGTCCTGTCCAGACTTACATAACAAGGAGCTAACCTGCTCCTTGTTTTGTCTGGATTTTTTCAGTGTTTTTTGCTGGAGTTTTTCTGTGGACCTTGGTGAGCACTGAATAAAGCAGTAGCTGAATATAGACTGGTAGGTAAGCAAGAATACACCTGTTCTTTCGATTAAAAAATGGGTATTATACAAGCTTTCTCATTTTCCTCAATCCCTTTTAGGAAAATCTAAACCAAACCAAAGTATTTGCCTTACTAATCCATTTAAAATGTAAGAATAATTAAAAGAAAGAAATAAAAATGTCTAAGCAAACAGCCAGAATCCAAGTGGATAACTTTGTTTTAAGCATTTAAGGAAGAGACCAGCTCAAATGATCTGGAGAAAGGTGAGCTTGTCTTTCCAGAACTAGAAACCAGCAGCAGACTGGTTTAAATGGTTTAAAGCAGCAGTGGTTGGCAGGGGATTTCCTCTCTACATAATCTCAGAGGGAGAAAGAATTCAAGATGAACAACACTACCAGCACAGGACTACATTTTGGCCAGCCATAACTGAGGTTAGACATGGGAAAGTTTCTGATCATTGGAGAAGTGTGGTCTTCCACTGAGAATAGCAGGTGAGTATTCATCTTTCTGCCCCTAGCAAAAAGGCTTAATCTACATGAAAGTAGCTATTAGACATATTTCTGATAAAAAGGACAGTCTTCTTACATCTGAGACCACCTGTGGCCTTCATGTATTTAAAATATTGAGGGTTCTCCCTAAAGTTGTGTATTAAAGAGGTTTTGGTTTAATGAAGAGTTGTCTAGGTCATGTACCTCTGATGAAAGGACACAGAAGTGTTTTGCAACATATCCTCAAACTTGTATGACTGGTAAAAGATGCTGTTGCTGCCCAGATGTGTAAATTTTTTAGCTCTATTTTATTAACCTGCTAGTTAATAACCTGCTGGTTCATAGATAGTGAAGTTCTCCTTAACAGAAGAATGGCTACTTACTTGATTTTGTGAAATGAACCGATGCACCACAAACAACACCAAGTTTTTTCAACTGTTAATTAAAACAGCTTTAATTAAGCCACCATATTTAAAAGGAGTGCCACAGACATTTGCATTACTTGAGACTAATTAATGACTATTTGCAATAGCTTTCTCCTGAATATCTTAATTGTGTAACATGATGGTTATGCTTCTACCCCTCCCAGTATAATCAGAACCAAGTTTATTTTACATTTATAGTTTGTGACGAGTTCTGCTTATAAATAAAAATACAAAAGACTTAACTTATGCTAAACACTATTGTCATACTATCTTTATTCATATTGGGAAGGATGCCCATTTTCTTTTTTCTTCCGTTCTTCTCAATTTATTTGTGCAAGGATTTTTCAGAGTTAGAATTCTCTTCTGTGTTTTGAATTCATTAAAAAGTTAGGTACTAACATTACTCATAATACAGATAAGTATTATCGGCATTTGTATTCCCAGCAAGTGAGTACTGTACAAAAACAAAAACAAAAAAAAAAGACATATCTCTCATAGAATTCTCTTCCTCAGCAAGAATCATAAATACAGTTGATTGCACATGCCATTACTTAGCTTGTAACACAGCTCTGAAGTCTGCAGGTTTTTATGCTCTGTAAAATTACAAAATACAGGCCTGGAGCCTACTTTGAGAAGTCACCTCACCTTTCCAAAACAGAATCACATACAACATACAGCATTACCAATTTAGAAAAGATGTTACAAAACAAAAAGATATACAATATATGATACAAAGCATATTGGGCATTGAAAAAGCTTAGTCCAGAAGTGCTTGAGCTTTACAGTATGCTGGTTAATGCTTCATTAAGTTTTATTTTGCACGTGTTCATAAGTATATATACCCACCCACTTACTCTCTCTGATGTATTGGCTCTCTGATAATAGGAAATAAGTTCCTAACTGCTTGTTACACAGTGTAACAACATAATTGCAATAGCTGATGGAAAAACATATTTCAATTTTATTTTCCTCTTAGTTCAAATGGTTAATAGTCAACAATTGTCCAGTAACAGGAATGGGAAGTAATTCCTAGGTAGCATGTGTCTGTAATGCACTCGAGTAAAGTTCCTTTCATTAGTTCAAATGGTTAATAGTCAACAATAGTCCAGTAACAGGAATGAGAAGTAATTCCTAGGTAGCATGTGTCTATAATGCACTCGAGTAAAGTTCCTTTCCTGGGGATTCACTTCGGTGGAAGAAAAAGCATGCTTTGGAAGTGTATTTCTTCTGGTTCTGTTTCACGCAATTTTGTCAGGATGAAATAATAAAACAAAATAACTTGTAGGTCTCCCAAATGGGCTGTTTAAAATCTCCCCTATTCCTTTCTATATTTGAAACACTACATCTTTATTTGTAAGCAAATGTCAAATGTTTGAATAAATTAAGGATGACTCAACTAGTTAGGAGGGAAAGGAGTCAGTAATCTACCCAAACAGAACTGACATGAAAATATGTAAATAATACTTTACATAAAGGCTTTTTTTAAAAAGATTCCAATGTTTTCACTAATTCATTACCGGTTCTAGGAAGTAGTCATTTGGGGAAATAAGGTGTTTTTTTCAGTCACTCATAATTACATCAAAATTTACAGCAGAGGAGTTCCTCTATTGCTTTGAGAGTTGAATGTACTTGGATTTATTCTTTCAATTTAAGTATGGTGCTCTCTCTGGGGAGGAGTAGTAGTAGGTAGGCTTGATGTTTCCCAGGACTTCATCTTCCCAGTTGGGGAGGCAGCAGAAGAAGAAAGCACAGCCAATTACAACAACGGTGCTGGCCCAACCGAAACCGTAGGCCCAGCTGAACATATTAGCTCCTGTCAGAGGAATTTCTTCTGCGAATTTCACTGGGTAGATGACCAAGCCTATAATCTGGAATGCAGCTAAAGGGCAAAGAGAAAGAAAGAAAAACACGAGTAAATGACAATGAACTGTACTGCTTTTCCCACTAAAAGCATATTTGGAGATAGCTGCATTGCCTGTTTTAAAGATTAGCTCCAGTCTCACAGTCAAATCTGCATTCTTGCAGAGATACGTGACTTCTGGTAGAGGCAGATCCCCACACGTATCTGATTGCAGCAGCTAAGGCTGACCTGGTCATTTTTCTATGGGACTCATCTGCATGTCAAAACCAACGCTACAGATGGGTGCTGAGATCTTTGTGGAGCCAGTCACCTCTCACCTGCAGTGCTGCCCCGAGCTGCTCCACCCCTGGGAAGGTGGGAAGCACCCGAGGCTCTTGGCTCTTGGTGACATGCAGGGCCAAAGATGTTGGTTACCCTGCTATACTGCTTTTGTGAAAGTCCTAGTTGACAGAGGCCAGTGGAACTTCTTTCTTATCCTCTCAGAGCCTAAACCCACAAAAATAGATCATAAACCAGAAAAAGACAGCACATTGCATGAGGGGATCCATCTAAGATGTCCTCTCAGAGCCTAAACCCACAAAAATGGATCATAAACAGCACATTTCATGAGGGGGGTCCATCTAAGATATGTTTCTGCTGATGCCTGTTTCACATATGAAAAAATCTTGTCCTTGCACCCAGCCTTACCAACAACAAAGAGCAGGCCTCCAATTCCTCTCACAAAGTTGAAGCGCAGTATTTCCACCGAGAATGCTATGACTGCCAGGGCAAAGCAGATGACCAGGATCACGAAGCCGACAAGGTATGTGGCAGCTGCTGCTCTCCCCCATCCTTGGGAAGAAAACCAGAAAGATGTTATACACAGCAGTGCACTGAACTCTACATCACTGTAATTCTTTTGTTTCCTGTAATTATTTCTCTGTTGGAATCATTTGCAGTAAAAAGGATGCCTTATGCCAAAGCAACACGAATGTCTTCGAAGTTCACAGCTGCACAGCAGAGACGTACCAAGGCAGATGGAGCAGCCCAGAACTCCTTTCCCACTAATCTGTCCTACTGAAAAAAGGAAAATAGTGGTAATGCAGATAACACATCCAAAATTAGTATCTACAAGCTGCATGGATCTTGCAGCAGATAGGGCACGCTCTCTCAGAAAGTACTTTATCACCATCATTTATGGTTAGCATATAAATTTACAAAACCACTTCCATATAGTGGAAAGCATGAGAGATGACATGAGGGTACCATCACGAGAGATAACATCTGTAAAATGATAATGCCGTCAGCACAGGACTTCTTGTGTGTTTGTTTATGACAAGAACAAAGCATGTGAAGTAAAAAATAGTAAGAGCCCAAAGAATTTTATTTGGAATAGCTGAGGTGAGATAACAAAGATAAAGGGAACACTTGGAGATAAATGCCTATTCACAGCTGAAAAGATTCAGAAACAGCAAAAATGTAGTGGGTGGGGGAGGAAACACAGGATCAGAGGTGAGGCAGAAGATCCTTTCTTGAAGCCTTTCTTTGATATTCAGAAGGACAGGGAAATGCACAGACACTTTGATTTGAGTAACAGCGCCAAGTAAGTGAAGGCTAAACAGGCCCAGACATTGAGAAACCGACCTCACCCCAGCAGAGCAGCAGTGGGTGTTCAGAGCTCATCTATCACAGTCCAGGGACCGGGGGCAACAAAAAGAAAAACCCTTGATAAAAAAAAATCCTATTTTACAGTAACACAGGCATGTGAAAAGGTAAGCATTACGGCTAGACCTTATTCTCTTTAGAAAATATTTACCAGTTCAGGTGAGCACATTGCAAACAAGAAAAGGTGTTCCTGCCCTGGAGGCAGGATCCTTACCCACCGGGGCTGAACTGTAGGAACCAGCACTGTGGTTTCAGAAAGCTGTCAGTGCAACTTACTTTCCGTGTCTCTGTAAAATGGGTTTCTACTTTCACACAGCAGACGTTAAATAGGGCCAGATCCCGAGCTCCCTCTAATGTAGGAATTGAACTAAGTCAGGATGTTTATAACAAATTGCACATTCCAACAAAGCCAAAGTGATTCTGGAAACATTTTGTTTTTAAGGTAGCCTCTGTCCAAGAAGTTCATTGTGAGAAAAAAGTGAGCGGGAAAAGACAGTGAGACAGAGAACATTTTTTGGAAGAGTTGCCTTAACCCCGCTGCCTTAACCAGTGCATCTACTAGTCACATAAACGGAAAGAGTAATTTGAGCCAGAGAAAAGAGTGAAAGTATCTCAGACAGCCCTTCTAGACACATCTGCGAAAGTAAATGCCAGTTTACAGCTGTTTTCATTAAAGGTGTGGGTGTACAGGTGTAAGGAATAACATTCACTTTGGAAATCTCAAGTGAAATACAACTGTCATCTGTTAGCCAGTTCTCAGCCCAAAGCAGGTCAACTGGCACAGAAAAGATTTTCTTTCCTTTCCCCTTCCCCTTCATGAATCTAATAGCTACAGGAGGCAGCACACAGTTCTCCAGGTAGCTCCCTCAGTCCCCATTCCTCCTTAGACCAGTTTTACCTGTTTTAAGAGACTGCTACAGGGAGGGGGGGACAGCAGGCATCTAATCAGCACTGGGAGATTGAAGCCATGTCAGTGGTCAGATAATATCTTTTCATACAAAATATTGTACCTAATGTAGACAGTGGATATTGTCTTCACAACAGTATTTCCTTAGGGATAGCTGGTATAGAAGGATATTTAACCATAACACACAGCCACCTCAGGAAAAATGATTCAGATCAAACAAGTTAGAAATGCCATTTATTGGTATTTGTCCTCTTTAAGAAAAAAAGTAATGGCAACAAAAAGCACTTTTTGTTATCAAAGTATATTGCACATTCCTCTCCAGTGCATTATATATCCTAGCACAGTGCAGGAAGTCATGTCTGGCATCTGCCTGATAAAGGTTAGCTTGCAAACTCAAACACGCAAGCAGGTTAGACACCTTGAAGTCTGGTGCAACACAAACATGACTGTAGGAGATACAAGCTAGAGGGCCCACAGTGCTATCTCAGTTATTTCCATATCCTGTGTTAATATACACGTATAAAAAGCCTTTGTATATGAGTAAGCCCTGACCCCATCATTGGGAATTATTTGCTCGTCTCTAGCAGCATGGAAGTGACAACACACTTAGCTGTAGGCGACATCTAGCCAGGAGTTCAGGAGATTAATATCAAGCACAGTTTTTTTAAAAAAACTTCATATATAGGAGAGTAGCAGACAGCACTGCAACAAGATTCACAGTGTTTTTTTGGGCTTGCCTGTGACAAGGTTTAGTGCTGGCAGCCCAGTACATTCCTCTCCTCCTCCTCCCAGATTATCTTCTCCAGTGTCAGTAGCAGAGGGATCATACCGATAAGAGCTGTTAGGACTGAGGCTGCCCGTTGGTGCTGGCCCCGTGTCAGGCGGGCCTGCTCCAGGCAGGGCCGTTGGTGCCGGCCCCATGTCAGGCGGGCCTGCTCCAGGCAGGGCCGGAGAGCAGCCCCTGGCACCCTAACAAGGGTGGGAGTAGTGGGCAGGGCAGGGAACCTTCTGGGCGCTGCTCTGTGCACAAGGTAAGAGAGTCCTGTTCTCAAAAACTTCATCTGAAGTCTTTTAATGAGCGACTGAGGTAACAGATTGGGGCTAGGGGCTTCTCCCTGACTGAGCGTAGGGGGAAGGCCTTTTCCACACAAGCTTTTCTCCCCCTGCATATGGGGAGAGTTTCTCACTGAACATGCTGTTTTCCCATGCAGGAACCTCACCACCCTCAGCCTGCTAATGTGAGCTTTCCTGGCTCTTTTTCAACCCAGAAGGTTGTTTGATCCTCTCGAGCCACGCAGCCCTCAATGTCTGCCTGCGAGGTCCTCCGCGTATGGCTCCTGAGTGTCCGAAAGGAAAGGCATGTGTTTTCCCTCTTAGTTAGCTGCTTTGAAAGCTGGAAAGTTATGTCTCTCACTTGCTGAGGGAGACAGATCAGCCTCAGTTTCTAGTGTGTGCTCAGAAGAACCTTACAGCAAGAGATTTAGACCAAATTTAAACTTCCCCCAAAGCAGAAAAGATTCAGGTCCCTTAAGTTGGCAGGCAGAGTATTTCAAAACAGGCGTAAATATGACATCTGTTTATGAATTCAAATAATAATAGCAAAATATTGGGGGCTTCATAGTCACATAGTTTGAGGCACTAGGATTGCCCTGGTCAGCTTAACCTCGAAGAAGATTTGAGCTCTCAGCATCTCATCATAAAAAAGTATTTATCCATTAGGTGATGTTCAAAGTACACCAAGAAAGCTGTTCAGGGGCTGAAGGGCTATAATTATTAGGAAGGATTAAATGTTTTATTGTACAGGTTGATTACTGATGACTATGCAAAGAAAATAAAGCTACAATATTAGCATGCAAATAACAAGGAGGAGTCAGGATTATTTCAAGATAATGATGATCATCAGTAAATATTACAAAATTTTTAAAAAATCTTAATGTTAGCTAAACTTCCTGATTTTATTTGCCTGTTCCCCAACAGGGAAGTGCTGGAAGCTCTATAGAGTAGGATATTTTAATCTAGGTTTCCCTTTGAAATGGATACAAGTGCTGACATAATTTAACATCAGCAGCAAGATGGACTACTCTAAGATTTGCAGTAGCAAGTCTTTCTCATCTCTGTTCACTTTATAAAATCAGAAGTTAGTTTGCTAGCTTGTGAATATCAGGAATCTTAGAGGAGCAGTTTTTACGTTGACATGATTAGAGGAGACATGTTTTTACAATGTAATTTGGATATTTTTCTATATTTAAGTGCCAGTAACAGCATTTATTCATTCTTGAGAGCTCAGATTTGGAATGCTCAGAAAATATGCTTTTTTGAGTAAAGGAAGTAGTAGTGGACCATGAGCAGGAGAACGTTGTCAACAATATTTTCTTGCTCATGGAATGTGCAAAATTCCATGACAACATGACTGGCAAAGAAAAGGTACGTGCATACACACCTTCAGTACGGGAGAGCCCAGAAAGTAAGGTTTGCTAGGAGCTTTAGTTGGGAATTATTACTGGGTTCTGTTTAGTTTTTAGAAGTCTGCCATAAGCCATTGCTGTACTACCAAACCATTAAATAAAAGCTCACTAGTACAACCTGTGTTTCAGCTACCCTGCTCTGACTGGAATGGAGCAGAGGCAAAATCCTGGAATACTCCAGCTTTAAGCACTTCCCTCTAACTTACATGTGCCTGCCTCCTGTACCAGCAAGTCCAATGGCATGGATGCCAGCTAGACTTTTTTTCTTTTTCTTTCTTTTTTTTTTTTTTTAGTCTATCTTAATCTAATCTTTTGTTGGAGAGTTTCAGCAAATCTGGGGGGATGTAGACAGACTGTCACAACTCTTCTATCAGCCTTTGCTGAGCAGACATTATAAACTAGGCTTGTTTGTTTACAATTCATCTTGACACCGTAAATCAGACATAAGTATGCCTGAAAGGAGGAAAAGGTGAGATGGGTGTATCTGCAAGATTCCTCTTTTATTTATTTGGCTCCTCGGTGGAGCTGACAGTACGTACTCAGTTTCACCAGAAATCTCAGGTACCAAGGGCCATTCCTCTAGCAACCCTGCTGCACCAACACAGCAGCAGGGAAACATGATTCACAAAGGCTGGGCTCCTAATTCTAAGTTCCAGCTTTTTTTTTTCTCTCTCTCCTTTGGCACTTTAAATTAAAGATCCAGATGAATGCTTCTATTTTTCTAAGTCAACTATTGTGTGCTTAATGAATACCAACTGGCTGTTAGGCATATAAGAAAGAGTTAACCACGGGAGCTCCTTTACCACACACATACATACCCGCCATTTATAGTGCTAATTCAAAGCAAGTCACAGGGAGCAGCCATTTAGAGCTGGCAGGACATTGCCACCCACAAATAGTGTTCCTAAACTTACAGCTTCATCACCTAAAGACAAAAGCAAACAGCCTTCTCCAAGTAACCACACTGCAAACAACTCTATTCATGTTTTATGGCTTCCTGATATGTTTCAAACACATAGCCAACATTTAATCCTGCAGTGGTCAAGAGTAAGTCATCCTGAGTCATACCATTCTGCAGAATGGCAGCCAGGCATTGCAACATGTTCATAATATACAGATGCTACCAGGCAGGTACTTCCCAGATGCAAACCAGTACAGATTTCTAATCAAAGTATCTTTCCCCGCCTCCCTACCAAATTATGTCCTACTCCTCTTTTTGCTTTTCTGCTTCTTCCCTCTCCTGTGGCGTTGTATATGTGCATTAAGAAGCAATTTGGTTTAGGAGACATTCCTACTTGCAAATCCGTATGTACCTGATCCTGCCCCTTCTTCACCATTTAAAATAAGTGTCTCAACTGCTTTTTCTTTTTTTCGCTTTAGTATGTATGCCACAGCTCAATTAAGAAACACAGCTAAAAGAAAATTTCTATTAATGGGAATCACTCTGAAGTTTTGTCAGGAGCAGTGCAGGATGGTTGGTGTATAGGACTTACTTTATGCAAAACACAAGTTATGCATCTCAGCTAATTAACTTTTATTTTCCTGCAGTAGTACTGCAAATGCCTGCTAGGTATTTTTTCCCTTGTAAATGCCCATGCTTATTTTAAGTTTAATTTCATTAACATAAAAAAAGGAAATAAACCTGAATTTATATGTTACATCCTGCCTCTAGATGTAAATAGTACTTAAGTAGAAGGTGGCATGCATTTCATCAAAATTACAGAAGCAGCAAAGTCAAGCTGCTTAAAATAAGCTATAAGTAAAAGATACTTTTCTTCTCTGACACCTTGTTAGCTAGAGAGAAAGAGCAGAAAGGCGCTTCTGCCCCAGACTGCCCAGGACTGAAGTGCAGCACACAACGATCAGGACACAGGGGCATGAAAAGCAGCGTCCCTACAGAAGAAAACAGATTTCAGCAACTCTGCCATCTTTCTTTTCTTCACTGTGCAAGGGGGTAGAGAGTTAATTTGTCACAACAACCTGTTTTTCTTCGCTTACGGTAAAACCTGCAGTCATTTTCAGGCCGACAAATAAAGCAACTGCTCTGGCAATGTTTAAGTATAATAATATAATTGTAATATATATTATATGATTATATATTATAATATTATATGCTCTGGCAAGTTTTTAGCTCACACATGAGTGTTGCAGTGAAGAGCTTCTGGAAGGCCACCAGGCTCAGCTGGCGAGGGACACGCGGCGGGGAAGTTCTCCCTGCCAGATCTGTGACAGGCCAAAACTTTCCCTTTTTATTCTCCAGCTTCACCTCCCAAAGCGCCCTAGCTCAGGCTCGAAAGGCAGCTCTTTTTATTTAGCCTTAAGGGTTCTGTTTTAGGGAAAAGCAAATGCAATCAGCATGTTTTAGCAAAAAAAAACCCAAAAAGCAGATGCAATCAGTCAGCGTGTCATAGTGAAGAAACAAAACAAAATGAAAAGTGCTCCCAAAAGCACAAACAGACCCAGGAGCACCAGGCACAAATGCAGCTAAGCAAGCTAAAGCAGAGGCACGACGACTAGGCTCAGATTTAGGCCGCCTGCAGCACAGCCGTACGCACGGCGTCTCCCTCGCTGCGGGGGGCTCGGGACCTATGTCCCACTGCAGGGACAGAGGGAAGGAAATTTTGCGGCTCTGCCAGGGTGGCTTTGCCGAAGGAGCCCTCGTCTGTGTTGCCGCCTCTGAGGCTGGCCCAGCGATGCTGGCTCAGCAAGGCTGGCTCAGCAAGGCAGCCCTACGTGAACGTTTCTCGGTCACAGGACTGCAGCCGGCTGGTGTGTTGATAGGAAGCAAGCTGGAGAGCCAAGGATTTGTGGCCAGGCAGCTCACTTTTTGTTTGTGCAAGATAACTTTCTTTTAAGGAGAAGGACTGGCTGCTCAGTACTGCACAAGAAATTGCTCCCAAGCAGTTTGAGGGAGTATTTTCTCTGCTGCTTTCAGCTCCGAAACAAACCCGCTCCCGGTTCTGTGGAGCTACCCTGGTCCCATCGAGCAGCAGAAGGAAGCGGGGGACATCCGTATCGCCGATGTGCGCCTAGGGCACCACTCTCCCAGCTGGGGCGCCGCGGAGGCGTCCGGCCCTTCACTCACCGTAGTCCATGAGGGACTCGCAGCTCCAGTTGAGGTCCTGCTCGCCCCGCGTGCAGCTCTCCCACAGCGACGCTTGGTGCACGTAGGGCGCCGACTCAGACTCCAGCCAGCCGCGTCCGGCCAGCGCGATGATGCCCATGATGATGGCCAGGCCGAGCAGCAGGGGCAGGAGCCACCTGCAGCGCCAGCAGGCCAGGCTGCACACCACCATCCTGCGCGGCTGCCGCGGCGCTCCCGCAGCGGCCGGACCAGCGAGGCCGAGCTCTCCCGACCCACCGGCGTGCGGAGGCTGCTCCGGCAAGACGCACACGGGCTGCGGGTGTGCGCCCGGGCTGCTCTTTAATCCGGGCGGCGGCAGGAGGGCGTCCCACCCACATTCCTGTGACTCAGGGCGGCAGCAGCAGCAACCTGTGGAGCTGGCGGAGAGCAAGCGGCAGGGCTGGGCCCCACTCCGCACTCTGCCCCTTCTCCCGGGTTGCCAAACAAGCCGTCCAGTTACACTCCCTAATTCTGTGTTAACTCCTTGCTGCCTGGCGCGGCCACTGAAATTCGCCGCCCGCTTGCAGCCTCCCCTCTGGAAAACTCCCAGTGCGTGACACCATCCTGGCCTCGCCTGGCAAGCCTGGCATATGGAAACACAAAAGCACCTGTGATATTTTAGTCCTCAGGGATGGACACCTCAAACGGGTGCAGCAGGGGAGCAGACTGAGTGAAGTACTTGATCTGAAAGTTGCTGTGCTAAAATACATAGAGCTGCATTTGAACAAGGGGCTGCATTTGAGCAAGGGGCACATTCAAAGAGATTCTGCTTTTCTTCTGAAGTTTTCAGTATTCATAGGCATTGTTTCAGCCTCCAAATGCTTCTTTGCCCGCCTATTACCTGTGTTACATGGTGGATCATTTATGTTATACCTGACTCAACAAGTCCTAGGAATTAGCCTGTCATTCTTGTATCTCTGTGGATTCGTCGCTGGCAACCATAACTAAGCACAGCAAAAAAAGTAGTTTCTTATGATGTTTCACAAGCCCTGCCCTCTTCCTTGGCATTTGACTTCATTTTTTTTTCCTCTCAAAAGCAGATAAAAACAAATCAGATTCACCTAAAACTGATGACAAGTCACTTCGTGCACGGAAATCTGATGACATGTTGCTTTCCAGTTAAAATGGTCAACTTTTTGCCCAGTTTTTGAACAATTTAATGCAAATGAGAAGGATAAAACAAAAGAAAAAGCTGTTGTTTGAGGATGGGAATCTGACATTCTTAACAAGGAAGTCATCTCATTTTAATTGTCACATGTCTGACAAGTTCAGCATTTCCAGGGTTTGTTTCCTAAAAGCACATTGCAGTCATTGCCAGACTTAAAACCAGACTAGCCAGACACAGTACAGAAATTTTGCCCAGGATTCACATGTCCTGACTTCGCCTATCCCATATTGGAAAATGCACCCTGGAGATGACCAAACTGAAGGCTTCCCTGACAAATGACATGAATGTACACCCAGTATTTTGGCCACGGGAGGAACACCTCTCCATAACAAGATCTATGCACATCCTATCATGTCATCCCATCACACAGCGCCAAACTCATCAAACATCATAGGCACAGGCTGGATCCCTGCTTTACGGGAGAATGTGGCCAGGAAGATTTAACTCAGCACTTGAACAAAATTCTTGACATTCTCATGCCAATTTAGAGGGATTAAAAGCTGGGTAGGGCGAATTGCATAATTTTGAAGGGGAAAGAGAAAGTATGGGTTTTTTTTTTGCTGGACTACACCAAGTGAGATTTTTGTACAGGTCAAAATATGCCCAACATCAGTTCCTCAAGAAACACTCAGGGAAGTGTCTTGTGGGGAGGGATGGTGAACTTGATTTGAATAATGTTGTTGGCAAATGCCAGGGAATGAGTTATGATGCTAAAAACAGAACAAGGTGATGTCATCAGAAGCAAGTGGCAAAAATTTTAGGGAGGTTACCCCAAACTATGAGAAGTTTTACTGATCATCTCATTATTTTCAGAGGTCTCACCAGGAAAATCTAGAAAGTTTGTATACTTATCTAAAAAGTATTTTGTACTTGTTAATACCAATGTGAGTGAAAAATGGAAGAGTGAGAAGTAACAATTTTATCAATAATGATGATATAATTTATATTACAAAGTAGCCTTAAAATATTATTTGCATATTTGTTGCATAGCGTGTGGCTTTTCTAAGAAAAGGTGAATTTAGAAGAATTTAAAACTGAAAAAATGTATTCCTAAGCTGTTGCTTTTAAGAATTCTTGTGTTTACACACTGTCGAGGCACCACTTACCACACAGTCTCTCGAGGACTTTTGCTGGTAAGCTCAGAGATACACAAATAACAAAGGGTTAGTTTTAAGATACAATCTTACTTGAGGTCACCTAGCTGGAGAGCAAATGGCCTGCTTATTATTATATTGTAAGTTGCATTATGACAAGACATCAATTTACTGCTTGGTAACACAGATACACAAATATGTATGCATACACACACAAATATATATACTTTCATATATATATATATATGCACATGCATACACACACATATATATAAACGTCTTTTATTCGTAACTGCTCATCCACCCTTCAGTTCTTGCCACAGTTCCCTTATAATATTGATTCCGATCTTACCTCCTTTTGTATTGTTCTTGCAGTTTGCACTACTACAACCTCACTCCTCTCAAATCCATCTAAATCATTGCTACCACTTTGCCCCCAGAAGAATCTTCCACGTTCATTCCTTTTGGTCATACCTATCATTCAGATTTCAACTCAAATTCACAGAAAAATACAGCTTTAAATAAAGTTTGCTTGAATTGTTGGCATGCATAATTCTTAAGCACATCATTTTTGCATAGACAAGAGGTAAGGGCAGAATTTGGCACCATCATTATCATCATTTTTTTGTCACTGTAGCAGGACTTTATTTGTTCAGTGCTGACAGGTGATTTTCTTGCAATCTCACTGTCAGCATTAAAGTCACTTCAGGGGAAGATACAAAAGTTATTTTTTAGCAAAAGAAGCTCTCAGAAAAGAGAGTTGAATTTCATTTTTTTTTTCAAGAAATAGAGTAAAAGTACATCACTTGGCAGAAACTGCTAACTTTGCTACAAGGTTGAAAGTTAGGAAATTTCCCCAGTTCTGAAAAGAGCATAGAGCTGGCTACCATTTATATTAGTTGTATGCATTGATTTCTCCATGTGCCTGAGGTACCTTAGTTCCCAGGAGTTGTGTTTGGAGGAGCATGTCAAGAAGTGCATTGCGGTGCTTTGGGCAGCAAGTCCCCACTGTGTTGTGTTGAACCAGACCCTTCCGAGATCACCTCTTGCACTAGCAGCTGTCTTGACCTACCCAGCTTCTCTCCAGTAACTCCATGAAGAGAGAAACACAGTGTTCTCCTTTGCTTTTAAGCATCTGGCTTGTCGCGGGAGACCAGAGGGCATTCCTCCTGGTCACTTACCTCATGCTCCACTTCTTGCCCTGAGCAGTGCTACCATCTGTATGTTAATAATATTTGCAATTAAGCACAACACTGAGCATTTACAGAATGGCAATAGCTTAAGATGAACGTTCCCCTTGAATTTTGCATTTCTGAATATTACTTCTGGAAATTTCACTCAATGTGCAAAGGAATTTCCAGCATGCTATGTAGTTGGCATACAAGGAAAAGGAAAGTCTACTGAGAAATCTATCTAAAGCTGATATGCTAAAGATTTCAGTTTTTCTGTGCTCGGGGGCCCACAACACAGTCAATGAAGTCATCTGCCTTCAGGTCTGGTGTTGCTTTGATCTAGTAGTGAGAAAACCTATCAAACTAATAATCTGGTGGCTCCTGTAGCAAAATAGACAGCTCCAATAGCATATGTAGCTTTTCTCACCTCCAGGTTGTGTGGCCAAGCATATGCAGAGATAACAGATGGCAGGAGTCACTTCTGTGGGACAGCAAAGATACATGCATGGGAAAACATAGTGATATGATCATGGGAAAAAAAAAGATGCCCAAATACATAATGAAATAAACTGGATGTTTGCTGTACTGAGCTATGAAAAATGCTCCCACCACAATTTATATGGATATTCTGAATCAAATCTAACCCTTTTTCCCAAATTATTATTTTGCTTTGAATGGAATTGTAAATAGCTTTTACTACCACTACCTTTAATTATTTATTATGTAAATAGTCAGATAAACTTTTAGGTTTTACATCTTTTTTTTCTTCACAGCATAACAAAATATATGCCTCTCTAGTAATAGTGGAGTGCACTCAGTAAATCATTTACCACTGCATATAATCATTTACCAAGCTATCAAAGAAACCTGGCTTTGTCACGGTGTCACGAGTGCTGGGTGGGCCAAGCACCGAGCGTTGTTCTCCTGGTCCCCCAGAGAAAATCCCTCCACCTGAGGGCACTGGGGTCCCCTGTGGGTTTGTTGCTTTTCCCCTGCCATCTGTGGGGGCTCTCACTTGCCTCTCACCAGCACGTACTGCTGTCAGCCCTGCCTAAGGTCAAGGATCAGCAGGGGGAAAATGTTCCATCAGAAGGGAGTTTTATCTTCATTTTCCATTTTATCTGAATGTATTTCTCTAGCATGTTTACTTCTCAACTAAATTATTTAGGAAAAGCAATGTCTGCAGTCTGAATACCTGTTGTAAAATCCAATTATTTGTAATTCATGGGTGTTGACAGCGTCTTGTCCTTACTTTCCTCCATGTCAAAGTGCCCTAATTTTACTTAATCTCTCTTGATGCATCACAGCCATAACATCTTTATTTATACACTAATGAGCATTACCAAAACAAGGTAGTCATGCAATATAAAAACAGGATAGGAATAGGACGTGCTTGGTATAACCCCCACCAACCACTCCAACAGTCCTTTGAGATCAAATTTCAATTTCCACATCGTTCTAAAAAGTTGCCGTTATCTGGATGTGAAGAAGGATTTTTTTTTTCCTGGACAGCTTTGCAGCAGCTTTCGTGTCTATTAAAATAGAAATCTACAGTGGCTACAGACTGATGGCTGCAACTTTTCCTCCCCTAACCTCTTCCACTCAATTACATTTTCAAGATGTAAGAAAGGATCAAACAGATAACTGTATCATCCTTGAACTCCATATTACCTCTAACTCCATATTAATTTTGCTTTTGTCCAGAAGTCCAAGGACACAAAACCACCATCTCCATGTGTGATGCTAAACAGGAGTAATAAAGTGCTAGTGATTTCCTAG